TGCTGCCCCACAACCCCTGCCCAGGAAAACAAAATATCCTCCTTGTATTCATGGTAGGATAAAGCTCTGGTATGTGTATACATGCATATATACACATCTATTTATTTATTTACATTTACATAAATTGTGTGTGTGTGTGTGTGTGTGTGTGTGTGTGTGTGTGTGTGTGTGTGTGTGTGTGTGTGTGTGTGTGTGAATATATACATATTAAGTATAATGTTCTAGTATAATGTGATTCATTGTCCTCAATTTATTTGTACTTTTTGTACTTTTATATCAACTTTTTTTTGTAAACGTTATGTTGGCCTTTGACTCTATTAATGATAAACACACATTATTGGTTTTCTCAATCAATAAATACTTTGAGCTCGTATTCTGTTGGGTAAACAAAGCAGACAGGTAATCCTTCGTGCATTTGAAATATACTACTTAATTCAAGTTGAAATGCCTTTGTAGTTGACTTGAGCGCATATAAGGTTGAAGTAGTATTTCATCCGGCATGTCTTTATTCAGAATAAGTAAAGTCATCTAAACCAACCCCAGGAAAACATGGTAAAATATACCGTACCGGTAGCCAGGGAACCGATAGAAATTTCTCTCCTTTTGAACGTTTTTGTTTTCTCTGTTTTTGCAGAATACATAATACATATTAGTTGATATGAAAATTTGGGATCATTTTTTTGTAGTGGATATTACTGAACGTGAAGTAAATATGAAGGGTGATCGGCGAGTTGTACCATATAGTAAATGTATAGAAGAAAGCGGCATTTCCCACTCATAATTGTTTGCCTGTCATCCAAATCCACATGAAATTTGGGTAATTTTCTAGAGTAGCGTCCTCTCACTCTCTACTATCCAGTTATATCATGGAGCCTCCCCCAAACCCCTATTTTCTTAGCCTTGGTAGAAGGGGACGGCATCAAAGGTACCAGGTAAAATATGAGTCGGTTGCTATATTGTCTAATGCAGGGGGCTGTGTCCCCTGCAACCCCCACCTGGGGGCTGCTGCCCCACAACCCCTGCCCAGGAAAACAAAAAATCCTCCTTGTATTCATGGTAGATTAAAGCTCTGGTATGTGTATACATGCATATATACACATCTATTTATTTATTTACATTTACATAAATATAATGTATATAAATATTTAGATAGATATTTATAAATATTTATGTGTATACACATGCATACACGCACACACACTCACACACACACACACACACACACACACACACACACACACACACACACACACACACACACACACACACACACACACACACATATATGTATATATTATATATAGGTATATATTATATATAGGTATATATTATATATAGGTATATATATATATATATATATATATATATATATATATATATATATAATATATATATATATATATATATATATATATATATATATATATATATATATATATATATATATATATATATATATATTTATTTATTTATTGATTACATATAGGTATATATTATATATATGTGTACATATCATATATATGTATATATATATATATTTATGTACATATATATGTGTATATAAATGTATATATATTTATATATATATATATATATATATATATATATATATATATATATATATATATATATATATTTATATATATATATATATATATATATATATATATATATATATATATATATATATATATATATATATATATAATAAATAAATAGATATATATACTTAGAACTTAAAATCAGTATTGTAAGTACACATGCAAAGATCAGTCCTCCATCTTGCCACAGGTGTAAGTCATGGTACGTCAGGAAAAAATTGCCACTGATACAAAAAAAAAGACATACAAAACTGTTAGATTGAACTTGTATAGATCAAATATTAGTTCAAGTACACATCATATTTAGAACTGTCTCTTTCCATTTTCTGTGGTAATACAGAGTTATAAAAGGAAAAACGAATATGCTGATACCAATATTTGATGCATTGTCCTGGAATCCAGTATGCAAATGAGACATGCATATAAGCTTCTACAACATGAAGGGAACAGGTATATAGAAGCAGTTGAAACCTTACACTAGTCAGGAACATTTGAATGAAGTCCCATATTTCTCAAGTATATTTGACATGTGCTATGACAGAATTCAGTATAATCCTAATTATTAGTATATCTTGAAATCTTGTACATAATTGAAAGAATAGTATAATATTATTATATATTAGATGTGATTATTATAGCTTCTACCCTTGTTTAAAATCCCTTTGGACAGTATCTAGGTTGTTTGAAAATACTTTGTGAGTGTGAGAATGTGAGTGAGGGAACATTATTCTGTATGAGTTTAATCAACTGAAATGTTCTTTATTTTAGGTCTTGTATATATATCTTAAACTACAATTTTTATATTCCGAAAATTACATATCTTTTATTGTGTAATTTTAGTAAACAGAATGAGTTGTGCTGGTAGCCACTGGGGAGAATTTCAGGATGGTCAAAGCAGCAACAATGATGACTGGAGCCTCAGTGGTTCTGACATGGAAGACCTCCTAAAACCACTACCACCAACTCCTCCAACCCTTCACCAGCCATCTCAGGAGGAAACATCATCATTTCAGAAGTGAGATCTTTTCTTCCCTTCTGTCCACTTATCATGCCTTTAATAATTTTCTGTTTTTTATGGTGACAAGTTATTACTGTCTTGGTACAATAATTGTTATAATGATAGAAGGTGCATGTATTTTCATTAATTGTTTTAATTTTTTCAGACTTCCAGCAGAATTTTGTCGAACAGACCCCTTAGTTTTGCAAACAATCAGATTACTACAATATCAGAGACAAGTTGCCCAGCTTATAAACAGAGCACAGGTAGAGAATGACCAATAAGACAACCATTATACTTAATGTGTAATAAAGCTGTTGCCATTATTACAAATGAGTATGCTAAATGTAAACAATGCTTATAGAGAGACTTGTTATGGCTCCTGACAATGTTAAATTTAACAGGCAGTTTTAGGCTTACAAAAGACATAAAGGTTATGTAAAAATGCACAGAAGTGGGTACCCTGCTCCAGCCCACTTTCCTGCTTCCTCTGACAGTTCTTGCTTACTCATCATGCATTGGTAGACTTGCAAAGACTCTCTTTCTCTTTATTTCCGTTTCTGTTTCTCTCTCTATCTCACTCTTGAACACACACACACACACACATACTCTCTCTCTCTCTCTCTCTCTCTCTCTCTCTCTCTCTCTCTCTCTCTCTCTCTCTCTCTCTCTCTCTCTCTCTCTCTCTCTCTCTCTCTCTTTCAAACAGTTTTTGTTAGTTGACAATGTTCTTGTGTTTAATCCTTTTGATACAGAATTACCCTAGTCAATATCATAATTGTAAGGCAGAGTTTTCAGTGGTCTGAACCTCCCAGTAACCTTTGTGATAGATCAGCCATAGGTGGGTTACTCCTTTAGTTGAATATTGTCTTCAAGGGATCACTGCCAGGAAGGCTTCGGGGAAATATTTCAATTTTTCCCCTCTTATGAGGTTTTGGAGTATTGTGAAACCTGACATCCTTTTTATGGGGAACTTCTGTGAAAGATAATGGCAACAGTTTCATATTTGGTATTACAATTTGTGTTACTGAATAAGAGCTTTGGTTGGTTTCATTGTGACTTTAGTATATGTAATGTAAAAAAAAGATTAGGACAATTGTTCCCAAGATATAAATTAAAAAGTATAGTATTTTGTTTATTCTGCAGAGTATAGGTATGGAGGGGAATAGCTTCCCATCATGCCAAGCACCTCCTGATGAGCCTGTGCTTGACCGTAAAACTGCAAAGCCACACTTCTTATTCTTTATTCCTCCTGAGAAAACGTAGGTTCTTTTTGCTAATTTTTAATGTTATTAATTTACTGAATTTATTGTGTGATGATTAATATAATGATGATTATACTAATAATATTGATCACAGTAATTAACTCATTGCCACTGGGGAAGATGAATTAAAAATGGGGAAAATACTGTACAGATAGTCCCCTACTTAAGAACATTCTACTTATGAACATTCCATACATACAAACAAATTTTTTAAAGTACTAAAGTCCAAAAAATTGTGTGAAAGATGCTAGCAAACCTCAAATTTCCCGGGCACGAATATAGTTCAAGAGTCTGGTACTGTATAAGGTATGTCGTACTGATTGGGATTTATTTACAGGTATTCTTAATGTAAACAAAACTTTAAAACAATGGGAAAAAAGGTAATGGAGACCTGATTTTCGACATACAAACAAATCAACTTACAAACAGCCTCTCTGTCCCCATTATGTTCTTAAGTTGGGGACTTACTGTACTCATTTTTTATATTTTTGTGAAATATCTGTGTACATAGATGACTCTGCCAGTCCTGATTTCACCTCTCCTTGAATTGGTGGGAAAAAACGTATTATTACTAGTGGAATAAATATAGATGATGCTATTTTTAACAGCAAATTAGGATAAAGTTAAATATTTTCGTAAATCAATGAAAAGGGTGAACGGGCGAGACAGGCAGTACTCATAATTGGCTCACTGGTGACTTAGTACAAGTATAGCCATCTATGTGTAAAAACAATCAAACAAGTTTATATATGAGTCATCAGAGTGCTGGGTTATATATGAGTCATCAGAGTGCTGGTGATCTAGTGTTGAACCCTTTAACCATGGAAGAATGGTGCATGGTTGAACAAATTAACAGTTTACAGTTTCAGGACCTCATACCTTCTTTTTTTTTTTTTTTTTTAATGCCCTAGATATTGATGTCTCTAGATGACTAATTATAAAGAAAGAGAAGGTAATTATACTATTTCATACATTATAAAGCATCTGTTATTATAATATGGTAGCATCATAATGGATAATTTTGCTGACAAGAAGCCAGGGAAACTATCTGTAGCATGTAGTGATCTGTCTCTGTGATTATCCAATAATGTATTTAAGTATAATTATGTTTTGTACATAAATATTTGCATATTTGTCAGTTTCAGTATATGTTGAACATGCACATTTGACATACATGACTAACTGTCCTTCTCCATTATATTTCTCCCTATCTTCCTCATTGCCATGGTTAAAGGATTAATATTTATGATGATCATAATGTCTAAAGGTGTAATTGACGTCCTACCCCCAGATAGCCACAACAAACATGATAATTATGATATTGATCATAAAAGTACTAGTTATCTTATAATAATATAACGGATGATAAGGAAATTATTGAAATTTAACTTTTCTTATGATTTTAAATTGATTCAACAGGTCTTACACAATTGGGAAGAATGAACCACAGTTACTAGAAGTGGAGGGCACAACTGCACGACTTATTTTGAGGAAAGCTGTAGCAACAGTATGTGCTCACACAGGATACACTGACACATCTGAGAGTGTGCTCAGATTTCTCACCGATGTTCTCCACGAATTTTTGACGAAGCTGACCAATCTACTGCGTGCTAACACAGACTCCCTTCTATTGACAGACAGATGTCCATTTCATGTAAGTTACTGTTTTCCTCAGAGAGTAGTTAATTTGAGATAACATGGTCTTGCAAAATGGAAATCTATTCATTCTGGTTGTCAGTTATAGTATCTAATTTGTCATTTAACCTTTTAGGATGTTATGGAGCAAAGCCTTCACGATATTGGGATTGGCAGCATGAATGAGTTACACCAAATGTACCGAGAACGTGTCATTCAGTATCATACCAGAGTCAGGCAGGAGAGCTTTCAGTTGTATCATCAGTACCTTGCTCTTACACAAAATAAGGAAGGCAGTATTGCAACACCTGGGTAAGTAATTATTGTAATTTTCTATTTGTTTCTTTCTGTCACTGTTTTTGTCTCTCTCTCTCTTTCTTTTTTTCTTTCTTTTTTTCATTCTCTCTTTCTCTTTTTCTTTCTTTCTTTCTCTCTTTCTTTCTTTCTCTCTCTCTTTCTTTCTTTCTCTCTTTCTTTCTTTCTCTCTATCTTTCTTTCTTTCTCTCTTTCTTTCTTTCTTTCTCTCTTTCTTTCTTTCTTTCTCTCTTTCTTTCTTTCTTTCTTTCTTTCTCTCTTTCCTTCTCTTTCTCTTTCATTCTCTCTCTCTCATTCTCTCACTCTCTTTCATTCTCTCACTCTCTTTTTCACTTCCTTTTCTCACCATTAGCTGCCATGACATGAATTTGTGTAATATAATCCCCATTTCATTATCAGGTCTCGAAGGGAGAGTACAGGGGATTGGTGGGGAGATGACTGTGGCAGTCAGCATGGAGGTCCAAGTGGCACCTCTGCACCAGGTCTGGATGATACCTCTGTCCCATCTATTAAAAGTACTTCAAGTCTGGATCCTGAATTATCACTCCATCCATTCTCTGTGTTGAGCCAGTGAGTTATGAGGAGGTTGAACATTACCATGTGTAATATAGCATAAGTGCAACTGAAGTCCAGGTCGGCATGTTGAAAATTGAACAAGGTACTGACTTGCTAAATATGTATAGTTTTTCTCATCACTATTATTTCTAATTATATGAGAAAGAAAAGAAATGTAGGTGCCAGCAAGGAAAATTAATGTTCAATTTCAGCGAGAAGGTATGGATATATCAGGTAATACAGTAACTGTGCAGTAAAACTGGTATGTCTCCTTATAAAAGATGTACTTAATAGCTTTGTTTAAGTCATTATAAGTTACTTATGTTTTATTTTCAACATTTCTTATTTCAATAATTTTACTATCTTTCTTGCTATCTTTAAGTTTGCCTTTCTGACTTCTTTCATTTTCAAACCTAATACCAATAAATGCCAAGTTCAAACAACAATTATAGCTGGGGCGTAATACTGTCAGTAGATATATTATTTCACAGATCCATTAATAATACGAGGAAAAAGACACAAAAACTGTTGACAGACTTTTCACCACTAAAATCACAAATATTTCCACTACAGAGTCGGAGGTGATGGAGAGGAAGGGGTCCAGCACTCACCTGCCACCACACAACAATACCAGCTATACCCTCTTACACCCAGATAGATGTGATTACTACATTTTGCCTGTATATAATCAGTGCAGATTTCTTGCCTTACAATTTGCACATTATTCTCATAAGATTTATTGTATGTTAACTTTTTATTATTAAACTGTTATTATTTTTTATAGCTAATAACTATTTTTCTTTAGTGAGGTTATATTTTGGTTTAATGCTTTTTTTTTTGACACACCAAACTGTTCAGTTGCCTAAATTGCATTACTAAATATGGCTGTCTGCCAAATTATAGTGTTAGAATTCAGTACTTCAGTTTTGGTATTGTAATTTCAAGTTCCTCTGATTTTACATTGTTGGTTGTATACCAATGATTTTCCTACATGGTACATTATTTCAAGTGTGAGAAGTATTTAGCCTGCAAGTTATACTGTATTAAAATCTGTAATTTTCTCAAGATTGACAGAAATTTCAGATTTCTTAGTTTGTGTACTATGTAACTTCAAATTAAAAGAAAAACTAATTTTGTATGGTTAATTTTTCCAAAATTTATTTTCCCCATTTATAATTATTGCTGTCTAACCAAATAACTACAAGTTTTCATCAAAGGTAAAATGTACATATACTTTGTATATATATATAATTACTGAAATTTTGCAAATGGTAAAACTTTTACACCAGAATTATCTGTTTTTATACCTCATATCAAAGGATTAACAAAACCATAGATGGTATTGTAAAAGAAAAAATTACAACTCCAGCCTTATATAGTTAGTAAGGTGAGTGAAGTCAGGTAACAGGTCAAGTGAGCTATGTACATGATTAGTATTAACCCATTGCCGCCGGGGAAAATGAACAAAAAATGGGGAAAATGCTGTGCCTATTTTCTACACTTTTTTGTTAAATGTCTGCCCATAGATGGATCTGTTTGCGCCTGATTTGAAATGGCAGGAAAAACGTATTTTTCACTAATGCCATGAATATCGATGGTGTTATTTTTATTATAAACATTATAATTTTTATAAAGTTTTTTAACATTAGTAACAGCAAAATAAGATACCGTAAAATATTTCGTAAATCAAAGAAGAGGGTGAACGGGCGAGACAGGCAGTACTCGTAACTGGCTCATTGGTGATTTAGTACAAGTGTAGCCATCTATGTGTGAAAACAATCCAACAAGTAATCTCACAGTGGGCATGGCATGGTATGCCCGTTGGCAATGGGTTAATAGTAAAACCTCTAGATGTGAGAAATTTGACTAAAATTAATTATGTGCATAAATAATGGACCCACAACTGTTAGAGTTAACCCAATATGAAAGCCCTCTCTCAGGTTATATTTATAGTGGTGTGGGCCCTGCTGCCAGGGAATCGTGTCGTCACCGTAGCGTGTGTGGCATGACCATACATGCCCATGGAAAATAGGACTGGTGCACCATGTCACATATGCACAAGCCATATGTAATATAGTCCAGGCATGCCATGGCATATACATACATACCGCCCAGCGGCAACAGGTTAAAGAATAATAACACATTATGCTTACCAAAATATTCTGGAAAAAGTAAGTACAATTGTGATAAAATGAAGGTTTCCTGTGGAATGATTAGGAGACATTGTCATTGCTGTAGAATCCCAACAAACTAAAAAAAACAAAACAAAACAAAACAAACAGAAAAAACACAGTGCTTTCACACAGTCACCACTTCCCTCACACTGACAGTTAACTCCTTGCCGATGGGCATGGCATGTATGTACATGCCATGCCCACTGTGAGTCGACTTGTTTGATTGATTTTACACAAAGATGGCTACACTTGTACTAAGTCACCAGTGAGCCAATTACGAATACTGCCGGTCTTGCTCGTTCACCCTTTTCATCAATTTATGAAAATATTTAACGTTATCCTAATTTGCTGTTAAAAATAACACTATCTATATTTATAGCACTAGTAAGAATACATTTTTTCCCACCAATTCAAGGAAAGGTGAAATCAGGACTAGCAGAGCCATCTATGTACAGACATTTCACAAAAATATAAAAGATGAGTACAACATTTTCCCCATTTTTTATTCATTTTCCCCAGCAGCAATGGGTTAAACAGTCCCTCACACATGTGCTCTCATCCTTTACTGTACTGTATTATCATATTATAATGTCTATAATAAAAATAACAGCATTGATTTTAGTAAAAAAGGTTGAAATATACATATACTTTGTTTATATATAATTGAAATTTTGCAACTGGTCAAACTTTAACACCAGAATTATTTGTTTCTACACCTTGTGACAAAGCAGTGACAAAACCATTGATGATATTGTAAAAAAAAATTACAATCCTTGTCTTATATTATTAGTAATAGCATTAGTAGAAAAAAACAAACTTATGGAAAGGTGATATCAGGTAAGGTCACAAGGTCTACTGACTCCTTTGTGGCTAAGAAGTTGCAGAGCCATCTATGTGTAGAGACATTTAACAAAACAATACTAGTGAACATATTTTCCCAGAAACATTTGGTTGAATAAGTAAATTTCTCTAGTCTTTCACACTAATTAAATATGACTTTTTAAATTATTATTATTTAGATGGGCCTTCTTATCTTGCTAGATAATGGAGCAGAGGCTAGGGAGTAAAATGCTGTATGTGTTCATGTGTATGTCTATGTTATATTTCTATTGTAAGTTTGTTTTAACATCACTTCCACTTAAAAAATATTAGCATAACGCTGAACTTTTATTGTAAATGACATAATTTAAACAATTTTTTTTTTACCCAATAATCGTGTCATAAAAAAAAACTGGCGCACACATTTTCCTCGACCAGCCTGTCCATATTTCAAGGCACAACATTAGGCACCTAGCTTGTAGCCGTAGCTTAAAACCCCACGTTTGGAGAGAAAGAGAGAGAGATAACAAGAGCAAGAGCAAGCAAGAGATAGTTAGCTACCTGGCATGCTATTGGCACGGGGATGTCATTATGAAGTGCCATCTAAAACATAGCCACTGTATGATTTTCTGCCATCACCGTCCAAAGGGTTCAGCAACTGGCTGGCTGATGAATGACCTAAGATTTCTCTGAAAATGTAGGATTTTTCTACAGGGACATATGGAATTCAATATTCTACATACAGAATATTTCATAAAAATTCATCATTGTTTTGTATCACAGGGGACTTGATCATTTAAATTCTAGTGGTCAGTATGATCAATTATTTGTTACAAAAAGTTCCAAGAATGTACTGGATACTGATCAAATGTGACTCATGGAAGAGAGAGAGAGGGAGATAAAGAGACAGATAGTGTTATAGATAGATAGAAAGACAGAGGTAAGAAAGGAAGGAGGATAGAGGAGAGTAGAGATAAATATACATATAAGTAGAGAGAAAAAAGATATATAGATAGATTGATAAATATATATATAACTTAAACACTAAGTTCAAATTAGAGGTAGTAAGAGCTCCATTCTGTCTTTTTATGGCTTCTTGATTACATTGTATTTTACACTGAGGTAAGCCTATGTTTTCTTTCCTGTGAGGAACCCAATGTTTGAACTGAACTGCTAGCACCCATTAAATGACAGATTTCAGCAGTCTGGTGTCAAAATTATTTATTTTTTATTTATTGAAAAATTTCTGCTGCTTCAAGGTCTATGGTATTTAGCGGCATTTTCAAAATACAGCAATAAGTGATACTTGGGGACGAAGCCCCTGCATAAGGAAGTTTTTTGGTTCATAAGGCGATGTTTATGGATTCCCAGAATGGTTAGTGGTTAAACCAAATAACTGTATTTTGGCAAAAAATTAACAATTAGGATAAAATGTGTAAGATGTCAAAAAAGTGCTGTAATATAGTATGGTAGTGAATGGTAAAGAGGGGAGAGCAAATGGAAGGTGTTATGGGTATGGGACAATTAGATTAAATGGAGAGTATCTATGTGTCTGAGGAAGGAAGAGTAACACTATATGAGAAAGATTGCATTAGACTTATGTTGAGAGGAATAGTGCAGCAATGTACTGCCACTGCATCACAGTTCACAAGGGGGTAAGGGTAGACAATGAAGACTGTGCAGTAAGAGATGGAATGAAGGATGGTGGGAGAGAGGAAGGGTGTATTTTAAAGTTTGAGTAATGATCTGGGTGGATGATTTGGAATGGACAGAGCTGATAGCAAACATCAAGGAGGGAGTATTAGTATCAGCAGTCAAAGGAGAGGCAGGGGTCAGGAATGGCTAACGGTTAATAGTTAGAAGAAATAAATGTGCTAGACCTCAGAGGTCATATAGCACTATGGTAAAATATTTTGGCAAAAAGGGTAGAAATGGGTTAATAATTAGGATATGATGTGTTAGTTGTAGGGTGCTGTAGGAGAGAATGGTAACAAAAAATGTATAGAGGGGGGAGCAAATGGAGTATGGGGGAGATTTGTAAAACAGGGATGGGCACAAAATGGAGAATATGTGTGTGAGGGAGGGAGAGTAATACTGCGTGAGGAAACCTGCAAAAGAGCCATTATCAAACAATCAATGTGTAATATGAGTAGAAATGGTAGTTGGAGATGTAGGAGAATAATCCAGAGGATGAGATCAGGGAACAGGTGAAGGTGGTGAAGTATCAGGAAGAATGTCAGGAGGGGAGGCATCCAGAGAAGGACATTGATGTGACATAAGGGAGCTTGAGGGCTAGTTTGATTCTGAGAACTGCTATCTTAGATTCATGCATGTAGGCAGGGCAGTTCCTATAAAATACATTATGGGAGCCAACACAATTAGTGCACATGCATGACTGAACAGAGCAATTTGAACAGTCTTGGGCACATACAGGGCAGTGGGCTGTGAAGTGACAGTGTTTGGCGGGGTGGCCAAAACGCCAACATTTGACATCGACAGGGAAGGGATCGATGTGGTTGGACAGGACAGGACACTCCGCAAATTCAAACTTTATGGGGGAGGTCAATATCTATGGAAGCTAATCTTGGCAATATTAGTGTAGGACTTCTGCCGGCCTCTGATCATTTCTTGTCATAGACAGGACAGTCAGTTAGGGAGATGGAAACAGTTCTGGCACAAGTATTAAGGGAGGAGTGAGATTGGGTATGAATAGGTTTGCAAGTGAGGTCAGTCAGGAATCACAAAGAGTCGATCCCAAATGGCTGGGCCAAATAGGGTACTTAAAAGGTCTGTAGAGGTGGAAGCAGTAGAAGAAGATGGGAGGAAGATGGGGTGGTATGGAGAGAAGTAGTACTGTGGAGAGGACAATAAGGATGAAGAGTAGTAACAAAGGGGGAGGGGGCAGACAAAGAAAAAGACTATGCAGTAGGAGTAATGAACTGGGTGTATTATTCAGAATGTATAGAGCTGGCAGCAAATATTGAAGGGGGATTAACATCTAGTCAGAGCGCTGGTCAAAGGAGAGGTAGGAGTTGGGAAACCAGTGAAACCAAATTCGGATAGGCTAGTTGATGAAGGGGCAAGCCCTAATGCTCCTAGTAAGGGTAAAAAATCTTGGCCATGGTGAGCCTGAATTAAA